TGACCTGAGCCAAAGGCAGCGGCTTAACCCGCTGAGCCACCCAGGGGCCCTTCTTAGGATAAATATCTAGAAGTGGAATTGCGAGATCGTCAAGGAGGTCTTTTGAGCTCTTGTCATTTCCTTGATAAAATAATCTTCTATTCCTACTGGTTTTATCAATGGCCTCGGATTCGAGGTGTTATTGGTCAGTTTCAGTTGGGATGACCTCCTCCGTGGGTGAGACACCTTCAACACTCCCTGTATTATTTCCGGTAGATACAACTGAGCACTGAACAACATGGTTTGAACCATGTGGGTCTGTTTTTATATGGATTTTTTTACAGTACGGTAGTGTACGTGTATCTTCTCTTCCTTACAGTTTTCTTAGTGATATTGTCCTTTCTCTAGCTGACTTTATTGTAAGAGTATGTACATAATAGGGTTGCCTGGGTGGCTCTCTTGTTAAGCGTCTGCCTTTGGCTTGGGTCATGATCCCAGGATCCTGGGATTGAGCCCCATGTTGGGTTCCCTTCTCACCGGGAAGCCTGTTTCTCTCTCTCTCCCCCTGCTTGTGTTCCCTCTCTCGCTGTGTCTCTCCGTCAAATAGTTAAGTAAAATCTTTAAAAATATCTATGTACATAATACATATGACATACAAAATATGTGTTGACTTGTTTATGCTATTGGTAAGGATTCTGGCCAGCACTGGGCTATTAGTAGTCAAGTTCTGGGGAGCCAAGAGTCATGTGCAGATTTTCGACAGTGTGTGGGTCAGTGCCCCTAATCCACACAGTATTCAAGGATCATCTCTGCCATATTTGTGGGAAAACTCTGCTCTCTTGCCCATAGTTTTTCATGGCTTCAAATATAAATAAACTTTGAGCCTTTTGCCCTTTCTTCGCTTCCAGGTCCCCCGGGGTGTTGGGTAATTCAGACTTAAGAGGGAAGAGGATGCCAGATAATTAATCTTTTGTATCCATTTCCCTTATTGCACAGAGCCAGGTAAACCCTGCTAATGATAAATTTATTTTTAAAGTGCAACATTTTATATTTTTATCTCCCAAATAGATCAGACTTTGATACTGAGTTGTTGTTTTGCTTAGATGAGATCCAAGCGACTTATCTGTCCCTCTGAACCCTTAATTGAAAACATGCTCCCCCCTTCACCCCACCCTGGCCTTACTCATGCTGTTCAAACCCAGGATCACCCAAGGTCTGGACAAGGCGAATGCAGGGCACCCACCACACAGACGGAAGGAATTTGAACATTCAGTAAATACCATGCATGAGCATAAGGAAATGCCTACATAGACACCCACATTCCTAGCAATCATAGCTGTATTTAATTATAGGGAAATGAAATGAAACTTAATTACATAATTTTGTCAATACCTGGGTCATTGCTGCGACTCCCTATAAAATGTAAAGGAGTCATCGGTAACCCGCCAGGGACCTTGTGCCTTCTGCCTCTGGGAGGGACTGTAGAGAGGAACTCGGGGTGCTCTGTTCCCCGGGGCTGGCATGGCCACGAGGCAGACATCTCGTGGAGAAGCCCACCCTGCCGCGCCATCTCCCCGATCACAGCCGTGCCGAGGTGTTTGCACTTTGGAAGGGAAATTTCTAGAGGCCTCTTGCGGTTTGGGGGTGGGAAATGCAGGGGGAGGCGATTCCGAGGTTCACGGGTGAGTAACAAGAGCTGTTTGCTCTCTGAGCTAACGCCTGGGCCTTTGTTGTGCCTCTGGCTTGAAGCTTCAGCTCCCTTGTGCCATTGAAGGGGAGAAGAGTAAGTCTCATGGTACTCAAGCTTCACAGCACCAACATAAGGTGGCCCAGATCCCTCAAGAATGTTCTGGATTGGGGTGCCTGGCTGGCTCCGTCGATGAAGCGTCTGCCTTCAGCTCAGGTCATGATCCCAGAGTCCTGGGAGTGAGCCCCGCTTTGGGCTCCCTGCTCAAAGGAAGTCTGCTTCTCCCTCTGTCTCCTGGTCCCCCTGCTTGTGCGCTCTCTCTCGCTCTCTCTCTCTCTCTCCCCCTTAAATAAATAAATAAATAACTTTTAAAAAATGAATAGGATCAGGACTATCTCAGGTTTTCCACTCTGCGCGGATGGTATCCTTCCAGAATGGACGCTTCAGCAATGTCTACCCAGTTCATGAGCCAACAGCCGTCTCTTTCTCTTGAGACTGTCCTCCTCTCCTGCACAGGGTGGACCCCAGGACCTGTGTCACTTGCCATGTGGTCAGGCACAGGGAGGGACACAAGTGGGCTGGAACCATAAAAATTAAGAACTGGAAGCAGAGAATCATGAGTCCCGGGAGGAGGTGTTCTGGGGAGGCCGTCCTCCGCCGTCATGCGGGCTGAGGAGTGGAGAGCAGAAAGCAGCCTAAGAGAGAGACTCCAGGTTCCAGACCCTTCTAGAAGCTCAGCCACATCTTGCGCTTGGGCTCCTCAAGACTTTTTCTATCCTTATGATAAATCCCTCCCTCCATTTTTTTTTCTTAGTTAAAAATGGAAAACAAGGAATAAAGGCTATTGGTTTTTCCAGGCTGCTCCATGTCACAGTCTGGCCCGGTGTCACCGCCTTCCTCTCCCCTCTGGGCGGGGATAACTCTCCACATGGCTTCTTTGAGCCAGGTAACAGAGGCAGGCATTGGCTACATGAGGCCAGTTAAAAATGCATGTGCTCCAAGGAGGGAGGACCCACTGCTAGCCTTCTCCCTAACAACCTCCCAGAGGAGTAAGGTCTTCTCTGTTTCAAGGTCAGGCCAGAGAGCGCCCTTCTTGCAAAACCAGAATGAATGTGCTTCTCTGGTGCCCAGAAAGCAGGAAATAGGGCTGGCCGGATGCGGGAGGGAGGCCCTACATGAGGAAGGATTAACAGAGATAATCTGCCTAGTGCACATACCACCCGGGGCCTGCCCTGTATTTCTCTAGTGATGAACGTCTCCTCCATCTTCTGCCTGCAATAACAATGCCTACAGTGTCCTCCGCAGGTGAAAGTCTGTGCCTTATTCAAATCTGCATTCCCAGGACCCACACAGCATGTTGCACTGAACATCTGTTGAATGAGATGTTCTACGTCTTACATATTTCAGAGTCTGTTCTATTCCGCTGGTTTAAATACATTTCCTGGTGGGTCCAGAGAGCCTTCCGAAAGCTTCTGTGTGATGATGTGGCATATGGTAGCGGGCTTCGTGGGAAGGGCTGCTGGATGTGATTGCTGCCACCTCCAAGTTTGCGACTTAGGGAGGAGTTTGACCTTGCCCTTGAATGAACACAATCCCCAGACATGCCCAGTTCGGCAGCCCGTAGGTTTCTAGTCCTGTCATTTGTCCCAGGAGATGGAGCTTTGGGTCAGGCTACCTCCCATGGCTCCTTCATGCTCGTCCATTCCCCAGCCCATGTCCGGGGGACAACTTGACGTCTACCTGTGTGATGATCTGTCGTCCGCTTTACATCCTGGGCTCCATCAGGGGAAGGAAGAAACCCCCGTAATTAGCACACCACCGTACATAGGAGGCGCTCAATAAATATTTGCCGCATGAAAGAACAAATTAGTGGACACGGAGTTGGGAGGTGGGAAGTCAAAGCTGCAACCAGAGAAGGAGGAGACCAGACTCAGGAGACCCCCACCTTGCACAGGACAAACCATGAGTGACTGGGAGCAGAGCACCAAGGCAGTGCTGAGAAGCCAGGAACTGGTTTGGCTGAGCGCGTATTTTGTGCCAGAGGCTACACCCGTGTTAATGCTCACAGAGACTTCTTGCAGAAGCAAAAGGCAGCAACCCATTTTACAGATACGAAAACCAAGGGGCAGGTGGGTTAAGATTTCTCCCAGCCACACCAGCTAAGACATGGAAAGTGGTAGGGATTCTTGCTCAGGTCTCTCTGGCTACACATTTCACGTTCTCTCTCCTTCTCTTTCTGTGGCCTTAGTAAGTCTGAAATATAGGGCTCGGAAGAAGAATGGTAGAAGCAGACAAAGGAGAGCTACTTGGGACAAGAGGGGTCATGGTGAGCCAGGGAGGCCAAGGATGTCGGGGAAAGGAGCAGGAGTCAAGGACACCTGGAAATCCACGAGGGTGATGGCTATGGGTCCCCAGAAAGGACGGTTCTTTTTCCCACGGTTCCCAGGAATCTCCCGAAAACCTGTGTAGCACAGAGAACCCACCCCGAAGTCCAGCTGGGGAAACCTGCGCAGGGGAGGCCCCACGCTTTCCTCAGCAGGACACCCAATGCTAATTTGCATAAATGAAGGGATACTTTTGGCAGCCTCAGGCAAAAAGGGGAAATGAAAAGAAAAGAAATCTAATCCTCGGAGCCAAAAACCGGGGGTACCAGAAGCCAGACCAGGGACCCTGCGCTGGTCTTCTCCCACTGCTAGAAGAAAGCATGGCCGGGCTGGAATTCAGCTCCTGTGCCCCCAGACCCTTGTCCCAGTCCCTATCTCTGACCTGAAATTCTCCAGTAGCTTCTCCTGGACAAGAAGACAAATGACAAAGTCCAAATTCCTTAGTCTGACTTAGAAGGCAGATACTAATCAGGTTCTGCCTACCTGTTTGGGACCGTCCCCTGGCCAGACAGAGCCCCTTCCCTTGTGCCCACCGAGTGCACTTGCTCCCCAGGGCGAGCCCACCACGGTCTCTAGGGGTCAGAGGCAAGTTTCTAGACCCATTGCCAACAGGTGCAGCTTAATCTGGGGGTATGGACGGTGACACTCCTTGCCTTCATGTCTTACGGAAACTGGTTTGAAGTCTACCCAAGGCACCAGAAAAAATACTAACAACCTGTGGATACGATCCTTGGCCTTCATCCAGTTTTCCTTCTGTCCCTAGGGATCAGCACACGCTGGACAAGAAGAGGTCTCCAGCGTTGCTCCACAAGACTGCATGGCAGGTCATCACCGCAGGAGGAAGAACAATGGTCCCGGGGGCGCTGTCAGCGCAGGAGAACGGCACAGAGGCCCCCCCAGCCCAGGCCACCGCCCATCCCACCCAGAAGGACACCGGAGCAGAGGCCAGTGAGAAGAAGGACCCCATGCAGGACACGCTGCCTCCAAAGGCGCAGGACAGGGCGGTGGCCTCTGATGGGGCACAGACACTGTTGCTGAGGAGTCAGGACCCCAGGACCATCGAAGGAAGGCAGGACCAGAACAAGGAGCCCACAGCCACTGGGACAGAGCCCCCAGAGCCTCAGGGCAAAGCGCAGACCACAGCAAGGACACCCGTGCCAAAAAGTCAGGCCGAGGCGCTGACCATGCCAGGAGCAGGGTCCACAGGGAGGACAGTGAAAGGAGTGACCACAGTGGTTGTCCCCCACCGGGAGACAGCCCAGGCCACGCCACCCTCCACTCCCTTCTGGAACAGCACCACAGAGAGAAGGCTAAGTCTACAGGCCAGCAACTTCAAGTCTGAGCCCCAGTGGGATTTTGAGGAACAATATAGCTTTGACACGGGGGCCCTACAGTCGGTGAGTCTGGCCACGGCCTCCCTGCTCTGGAGCCCCCTGGAGACAGCCCCACCACCTCCCTGACCTCCCAGGCTTTGCCCTCAGGCTCTGCCTTATCCCCCCCGCCACAGTGCCCTACCCTACCCTGCTTTGACCCCCACCTTCTTTCCTTAAGTGTTCGAAGTGCGGGGGAGAAGGCAGGTCCCAGATCCTAGCCCAGGCAGCGTGGGAAGGGGTGAGGGAGAGGAGCCCTGCCCGGGAGCCCCCCAGAAGGTCTGGAAGGTCACTGAGCAGGGGGAGAAACGTCTACCTGCTCTGGGGCCCTCCTTGGGCGGGGGAAGGGGCAAGGGTTGAGAGGGGGCAAGGAGGGGCAGGACTAATAGCTGAGGAACCCCAGCCTGATGCCGACCCTGATTCGTGGGAATGCCTTGGCTTCACCCGCCTTCCCCTTCATCCGTCCCTAAGAAAAGCAACCTGGGCCCACGGCCTCGGGAGGGAAACCTTCAGAATATGTATGTTTGCATACAGACCTGCAGCCAGGCCCCGGCCAGCGCTCCAGGCTCTCCCGCAGCCCCGTCCCCCTTCCACCCACCAGGGTGCATCCCCTACAGCCCCAAGAAGGGCCCTCGGGGACCCCTGGGACCCTCGGGGCTCCAGCAGCCAGGACAAGGGCAAGGAGGACCAGCGGGCCCTCCGAAGATGATGGGAGAGGCCGCGGAGGTGGCGCCTTCTGGACGTTGAGGCCCACTTTCTGCCCCTGCCCCCAGCCCGGCCCCTGGCCATGGCCTTCCCGGGCCTCTGCCTGCCTGACCCACCCTCCTGCATGTAGAGCTGCCCCGACTCAGTGAAGGTCAAGGCCTCCAAGTCACCCTGGCTCCAGAAGCTCTTTCTGGCCAACCTCACCCTCTTCCTGGATTCCAGCCACTTCAACCAGAGGGAGTGGGAGCGCCTGGAGCACTTCGCACCGCCCTTCGGCTTCATGGAGCTCAACCACTCCCGTGAGTCTGCCCCCGCAGCCCCGCGGAGCCTGAGCCTCTGAGCCTCTGGCTCTGGTCCGGCCTCTTCCCTGGGGGGCCCCCTCCGGCGCTGGGAGAGATGGTGGGCCGGCCCCCCCCCACCCCTCCAGGGCTCTGAGCGGAGCCCCTCGTTGCAGTGGTGCAGAAGGTGGTGAAAAGCTTCCCTCCGGTGCCCCAGCAGCAGCTGCTCCTGGCCGCCCTGCCCCCCGGGAGCTCCCAGTGCATCACCTGTGCCGTGGTGGGCAACGGGGGCATCCTGAACAACTCCCACATGGGCCAGGAGATAGACAGCCACGATTACGTGTTCCGGTAAGCGGTCCCACCCCAAGCGCCCCATCCCAACTGAGAGATCCAGGAGGGTGTTCTACGCCTCAGTCCAGAAGGTGGAAGGCCTGGGCTGTCCAGAGAATTTCCCTTTATACCTGCTGCCTCCCCATCTCTCCTTGCCTTCCCCACCTGCCTCCACGCCTTTCCCTCGTGCACTCACGGGGCCTGTCCTGTGTGGCTCTGTCTGCCCGTAGACTGAGTGGAGCTATCACTAAGGGCTACGAACAGGATGTGGGTACCCGGACGTCCTTCTATGGCTTCACCGCCTTCTCCATAACGCAGTCCCTGCTTGCCTTGGGCGGTCGAGGTTTCCTGCACGTGCCCCTGGGGAAGGTGAGCAAAGAGGACCGGGCCTGGCCACACACAGAATCTAAATGGGGAGCACGAGCGGAGAAAGGGAGCCCGGCGTCCCGTGTCTGGAGTCTGGCTGGCGCAGGCTCTGTTCATCCGAGGGGCACGGGCAGGGAGGATGGGCAGACAGGCCTGCGGAGGGCAAGCGGGCAGGCTGGTATTGGAGCCAGGCACCCCCCAGCCTGGGGTCCTGAAGGCAGGACTTCCAGAGCCGCTGTCCTTGGTCCTCAGGATGTCCGCTACCTGCACTTCCTGGAGGGCACCCGAGACTACGAGTGGCTGGAAGCGCTGCTTCTGAATCAGACGCTGGTGAAAAGCCTTCTGTGGTTCAGGTACCCACCGCCCCTCCCTCTCCCCCGGCCGAGCTGTGTCCCGGGCGGCTGTGAAGGGCTGGGCCGGTGGGGGCCACCTTAGCGATCACCTGGAGAGGGGCCCCCCACCCCCCGCCATGCCCCTGGCCCTGACTTGGCCCGGGTCGGGAAGGTGAACCACCACCGCCACCCACAGGCGCCGGCCCCAGGAGGCCTTCCGGGAAAGCTTGCGGATGGACAGGTACCTGCTAATGCACCCGGACTTGATGCGCTACATAAAGAACAGGTGAGAGCACAGCGGCTGGCGCGAGTGGAAGGCACCGGGCGCCTCGCGTCCCGGCACCTCCTGACGGCGGGGAGGGGGGCTGGGCTATTTCCCAGGTTTCTGAGATCGAAGACCCTGGACACTCAACACTGGAGAATCTACCGTCCCACCACGGGAGCCCTCCTGCTGCTCACGGCCCTTCAGCTCTGTGACGAGGTGAGACTCTACGGTGGGAGCAGCTGGAGAAGCAGCTGGGGGGGTCCCTGGACTGGCCCCTCGGGGACCACGGCTGGGGTGGAGGAGGGCCGTGAGTGTGCATGCACACACGTGTGCAAGTGTACACCAGGGAGCCTGCGCCCGGCCCCCGAGGTCGAAGGGCCTCCCAGCCCCCAGTAACACGTAGCCCATGAGCACAAGCCTGGGAGGGAGTGACCTCGGGCCTCATTTCTCCTCCGGCCTTCACGTAGGTGAGCGCCTATGGCTTCATCACCGAGGGTCACGAGCGCTTTTCTGACCACTACTATGACAAGTCCTGGAAACGAACCGTCTTTTACATCAACCATGACTTCCCGTTAGAGAGAATGCTCTGGAAGCGGTTGCACGATGAAGGTATCATCCGGCTGTACCAGCGGCCCGTAATTTCCAAACCGAAGATGTGACTGGGGCCTGGGCCGCTGCGGTCTCATGGGCCGCTCCAAGGCACGGGGCAAGGTGGGAGCCTTGAGACTCTAACCGCCGTTCTCCCAGAGCTCAGGCCAGCCTCCTGGCCCCTCCAGACCCTGTCCCCCCGGGGAACTCGGGCACCGAGGAGGAGACACGTTTAAGACGGCAAATGACCAGTTGAGGCCTTGGAGACCTTGGAACATGGATGCTCAAGGGAGGGAGGACTCCCGTCTTGAGACCCAAGAATTTGAACTAAATGGAGTGATGACGGGCCCACACCGCCTACTGAATCTCACCCTTCACCATCCAAAAGCTACCTGGCGCTGGCAGGGAAAAGCCCCAACCTAGGAGACGAGACATGGAGATTCGATTTCGAATTCCAAATCTTGTACTTAGCAGCTGTGAAATCTTGAAGGCCTTACTTAATTTCACTAGGGATTGTCTACAGGACCCTTCCTCCTGGGGCTTATCTGATTCTAGAAGGATCTGCACCTTTCCTTGTCTTTGAGCTCTTTGACAACTCTCTGGGTTGCAGAAAACGGATAGTAATAAGAATAATTCTTGCCCGTGAAGATGCAAATAAATCTTGTACAGTCAAGAGGCAAGTGATGACCCCCTGGGGGCAGTGACCTGTTCTGTATAAACAGGCAAATTCATGTTCCTGTTCCTGACTGCCTGTGTGTCTGTACTCGAGGTTCTCCTTTGAGCCAGTTTTTGCATCTTACTGGTTTCTTCATTAGTTAACCAGTTAATAAAATCCTTGACATGCGTTCATTTTATATTTGTATGAGAGTTACCGTTCTTCCCTAGAAAAAACATCTTCTATCATGTCCTGAGGCCACTGTTTTATAATCCGTAGCACGATTTTTAGGGTACCCATTCCACAATGATTTAAAAAAATTATTCTCTGTAAAAACCTGAGGCAATAAGGACCCAGTTTCCTCCCCTTTCGTTCTCCATTCTCCCTCCGGCCTGCGCTTCCTCAGACCTCATGTTGAGAACCCAGAACAAGCAAAGTTTTTTCGGCTCATCTTATCCCCTCGAGCTCTAGCTACAGGATTTGGACTCTGAAGCCCAGAAGAATTCTAAAGATCCCAAACTGGATAAAGGCCCCCAGTGAAGGAGATGGAGGGCGTGGAAGGAAAAAAAAAAAAAAAACAAGAAAAGAAAAGTAAGCTGTCTTGTAGACTTCATGCTCAAGGTTCAAAAGCTAATTTAATACAGGTAGGACAGGATTTGCTTTGTTCAGAAAGGCTGCAGTACCAGCTCTGGGCAGCAGGTGGCAATATCTTGCACACACCCCCCTCTACCTCACCACCTCCCTCTGCCCCGTTTCTGGAATGCTCCGCTTGTCTTTTTCACGTTTTCCCAGCTGTTCTTACATGTTTATTCCTCCGTGTGAATTTTAGTATCTGTTTAGGATCTAGGGAAAAAAAGGTTTGGTATTTTAATTGGAATTGCATTCGATTTATACATTTCCCCGGGGAAGAATGGATGGATGTATTATATCGAGTCCTCTTTTCCAAGGGCAAGAGATGGTTCTCCACTTCTCCAAATTTGTGTCTTTCAGTATTTTAGTATTTCCTCATACGGATTTCAGATATTCCCTGTTGAATTCACTGCTCAGTATTTTATCTTGTTTGTTGCTGTTCTAAATGGATTTTCTCTTACATTAAATCCTCTCCTGGTAACTGTTGGTGAAGGGTATGGTATATTATCATATCATCGGCATATAGGTTATTTTCTAATTCTTTATGCCTCTGATGATCTCTTTTCTGCATCTCTTGACTGGTACATCCGGAGTGAGCTAACACAACAGTTGACTTCACTTTGGATCCAAATAAATGAGGCTCAACCTTTATGTTTGGGTAGCCTGAATTTAAATTTGAGGAGGTAGGTTCAGAGGTCGTCTGCTGATAGTATATGATACAATACGCTATATGGTGTTGATAGAGTTAGGTAGCAGTGATGTGGGAAACAAAGGCAAAAGAAAAATAAAGTTTCCTTACTACTTACAGCCCACTGACAAGTCCTTGAAACAGAGTGACTTTCCTCTAGGAACGCAGCTGCCTCGATGTTAATACTTTGCTAAGGGTAAAGGCAATCTTAGCCCAACCCCCAGGAACCTGTAAGTCTACTTTAACTTATAAAAATAACTTGGGGGTGAGGGGCGCCTGGGTGGCTCAGTGGGTTAAACCTCTGCCTTCAGCTCAGGTCATGATCTCAGGGTCCTGGGATCCAGCCCCGCGTCGGGCTCTCTGCTCAGGGGGGAGCCTGCTTCCTCCTCTCTCTCTCTGCCTGCCTCTCTGCCTACTTGTGATCTCTCTCTCTGTCAAATAAATGAATAGATAAATCTTTAAAAAAAATAATAACTTTGGGAACTTCCTTTATCTCTACCCACAAGATGCATGTTGGCAATCATCCCCCAAGCATATGACCCACTGATAAACATCTGAGGAGTCTCATGACTGAATTTTTACTAAACACTAACAAATGACCTTTTTTTTTTTTTAAGACTTTATTTATTTGATAGACAGAGATCACAAGCAGGCAGAGAGGCAGGCGGGGGGTGGGGGGAAGCAGGCTCTTTGCTGAGCAGAGAGCCCCACGCAGGTCTCGATCCCAGACCCTGGGATCATGACTGGAGCCAAAGGCAGAGGCTTTAACCCACTGAGCCACCTAGGCTCCCCATAGAGTTAGGTAGCAGTGATGTGGGAAACCTTTTCTTAAAATTAGCCAAGCCCCTCAGGATCCTGGAAACCTTCTTGTCACAATACCTGGGAGGCTATGCTGTGCCTAACCCCCTCCCAACTTGAAAGTTTATCATGGGCCGCTCCTCGTGACCCCAGTGCACCTCTTCCTGCCCACGGGTCCTGTCTCACGGCTTTAATAAAACCACCTTCTTGCACCAGAGACGTCTCAGGAATTCTTTCTTGACCATTGGCGTTGAACCCTAAAGTGTCTCCTACATCAGTAGGATATAAAATTAACACAGAAATCAACAGCCTTTTGACCAAAAAAGCCTCTCTTTAGGAATTTACCCTGAAGCTTTATCTCCAACAATACAAAAATAAATAGGCACAAGGTGGTTCCCTGCAGCGTTGTTCAAAATTGCACACTATTGGGAACTGCTGTGCTACTTCAACGTAAGAGACGTAAACGTGCAGAATAAAGTGAGGAAGATCTCTGTAAACCGACATGGTGTGGTTGTTATGGTATATTGTTAATTGTTTTCAAAAAGTAAAGACAAGGGGCACCTGGGTGGCTCAGTCAGTTAAGCATCTGACTCTTGTTTTCTGCTCAGGTTGTGACCTCAGGGTTGTGAGATGAGCCCCGCGTGGGGCTCTGTGCTCAGGGTGGAGTCTGCTCGTCCCCCTCCCTCCCCTCCTCCCTCTGTTCACTCTATCAAAAACAAATAATTGGTCTTATACATTTTACATAGGAAAGAAAAAATAAAATATACATGTGCCTGCTTATTTTTGCAAAAAGGAGACATGAGGAAAAGATACCAGAAACCAGTGAGCCTGGTTACCTAAGTGGGGTGTTGGGAAAGAAAATTTTTTCTTTACCCTTTAACGGTTCTTCTGGCTGGTCTAAGAATGAAATTGACATGACACAGAGTAATAGGAGAAAATCTAATTTAATTTCATATGTACAGGAACACCACATACATGAGAGGTTCAAAGACAGAAAGGTAAAATGAGGTATATATGCCCTGGATGTCATTTTGGAGAGGTGTTGTTGGCGTCTGGAGCCAACAGCCAAGGAAGAATTCTTGGGACATCTTTGGTGCAAAAAAATGTGATTTTATTAAAGTACAAGAACAGGACCCGTGGGCAGACAGAGCTGCTGCACTGGGGTTGTGAGGGGTGGCTGATTATATACCTGTGAGTTGAGGGACATAAGGAAAAAAGGATGCTTCCAAAAAGACTTTCATCTGTTAAAGAAGACTCATAGGATACTGGAGGCCTTGCAATATATTGTTGAGCTAAGCCTGTTTTTCCTCTAGCAAAGCATCAACTTTAAGACAGTTGAGATTTTCCTAGAGCAGTGTTATACGATGTGGGACACAGAGGCAGAAGAAAAATTATTAAATTTCCTTACCTACTGACAAGCCCTTAAAACAGGCAGACTGACTCTCCTCTAGGGACTCAACTACCCCCACCTTAAGGCTTTGCTAAGGGCAAAGGACAGTCTTAGCTTGATCGACCCCCTAGCCCCAGCCAGGATCCTATAAGTCTACTTTAACAATCCCTTTGGAAACTTTATCTCTAAACCTCCAAGATAGTGACAATCATTCTCAAGCACACGAACCACTGATAGACATCTAAAGGGTCTCACGAGAAGATTTTATTACTGGTAATGAATAACCTTTCCCCCAGACAATAGCTAGCCCCTCAAGGTCCTAGAAACCTTGCTTCCAAAATTCCTTAGAGACTTACACCATCCCTAATCCCCTCCCCAACTTACAAGTATGTAATGGACCACCCCTCACATCCCCGGGGCAGCAGCTCTTCCTGCCCACGGGTCCTGTCCCTGTGCTTTAGTAAACCACCATTTTGCACCAAAGATGTCTCAAGAATTCTTTCTTGGTCATCGGCTCCGGACCTCACCCCACTGAACCTCACCTATGTTCTAGAACTTCATCAATACCCTGCCTGTCTCAAGTATTTGTCAATGGGCTGCAGGTTATAAGGAAGTTTAATTTTTTCTTTTGCCTTTGTTTCCCAAATCCCCATTCTGAGCCAAGGAAGGGAATGGAAGCTCAGGCTTCAGAGGGAAGGAGGGCAGTTCACGGCACAATGAGAAAAGAGGATCTTTCCTAACGAGATGTTTGCCCTGCCATACAGATGGGTCACTCAAATATAACTTATCTCAGGGCACCTGGGTGGCTCAGTGGGTTAAGCCGCTGCCTTCGGCTCAGGTCATGATCCCGGGGTCCTGGGATCGAGCCCCGCATCGGGCTCTCTACTCAGCAGGGAGCCTTCCTCCACCTATCTCTCTGCCTGCCTCTCTGCCTGCTTGTGATCTCTGTCTGTACAATAAATAAATAAAATCTTTAATATATATATATATATATATATATATATATATATATATATATATGAAACTTATCTCTGGCAGTGAGT